AGATAAAACTTATTATAATATATTACATATTTATATAATTAATTTAAAAAAAAAATTTTTTAAAAATATTAATTATTTATAAAAGTAAATCAGAAAAGAATTTATAATAAATAAGCAAATTTGCCTGTGAAACCCTACAATCTAAGGGATAATGAAGGTCTGATTAACCTAAACTTCAACTTTGTTATATTGAAGTATGATTGTACAGTATTTTATAAAATAAAAATTTCATATAATTATTTCATAATCTATCATAAAACGTTTTCTTGTGAAGTTCTATATACTAAAAACATGTTTTAAGAAAAATAAAATGCTGCAGACTGGATGTATCTTCAAACACATTTTAATAAAATTATTTGACTTCAAAATTGCCTAAAAATTACATTTTTATATCTATTTTATCATTTATAATTCATAAATAAAAAGAAGTAAAAGGTAAAATAAAATTTTATTAACTAAAGCAATTGTTTTCTTAATATCTTAGGAGAATTTGATTGGCTAAGTTTTTTATTAATAAAAAAAGCCTGAAGGATTATTTGAATATTTGAACCTTAGCAAATTTCTAGATTCTACCAAACTTGAATAAATGCTTGTTAAAGAAATATCTGTATATAATACAATTTTTTTTGCGGATGATATATAAATGTTTCAAAAAGAAAAATGCATAAACTTTTTAAATAAAGCAAATAAAAATCAAATAGTATATTTAACTAAATTCTTTATTCCCACATCTTGTTCTGCTATAGTAACATTAAAAAAATTATTTCAATATCTTGAGATCAAACTAAAGAAGCATCAAAACATGAAATTATAAACAAGCATTATAGTAGAAACTTTATTTTTTTTGAAATCCTTCTTGTTTAAGGTTATTTTTAAAATTATTTTCTTTTGGAAATATTCTTTTGAAAACATTATAGAAATTTAGGTTTGCACATCAATCGAAGAAATACATCATGTTAAAGAAAACATGAAGAACATGTATGATAGAATGCAATGCTTATAAAAAAATTTCACGTTTTGTATTTTATCCATCATCATCACTTTTAATAATTTGTTGAAAAAATAAACTACTAATAAAGACTTCATTTTCTTTTCCCATTTATATCATAGAATTTTGCAAAAAAATCATGATTTTTTGAGGTTTTGTATTTTCATTATTAGCGAATCATATTATAATTTTCTTGAAAAAGCTGTTGCAGTAAACTTTATAAAATATAACGGTTATTTTGGTTGCATATTACGTAATTTTAAGACGAATATCTTATTTTAATCGACTATTTGCTAAATTATTATTCTTTTTTAAAAAATTTTTTTCCCATTTGTCGGTTTAACGGATCGACTCAATTTTTGAGCAGTCGGTCATTAAACAAAGCGCAGTAATTTCTCTAATTATGAGTCGATTCATCCTAGTTTTGTTGTAGTGACGGATATGATTCGATCCAATCCCAACCTTCAGATTGATCGAGATCGGTCATATGATCAGATCGCGATCCTATTCTTACTGCGGTTGTATCCAATTTCGCTAATCGTCCTCTTTTATCCACTCTTTTTTTTTTAATCGAACAAAAACAGGTTAAAACATTCTTTGAGATCAGGGTTAAAGGTGTGATCGAATTCCGTATCGTTAATAGTATGATTGATACATAACTTTACATACGGTTAGCTTTCCCTTTTTTATCTTGCAAATTTCAAAATATTACATTGAAAGAAAAAAAAATATATATTTATAAAAAAAAAAAAAAAACTTCGGCATCTCATTATTCATATAATATATATTATTTTTTATTATTATTCGATGGTAATATGAATTTCTAACTATGATTTTTATTATCGTGACTTGGCCGGTAAAGACCTCTTTTTTTCATTTGTAGCGTGACTAAAATAGCAGTTTATGTATTTATCCTAATATCTTTTTTGTTCTTATAGTTAAACTATTCCATGTTTTGTCCATGGATTTTAATTTCATTTACTAATTGATAATATAACGAATTCCTCTTTAAATATCAAAGCAATGGATAATAGGAAACAACAATATAAAGTTACAAAAACCAATGTTGAATTACGAAATGAATTTGAACAAGATTCCATAATAAATCATGTAGAAACTGATACAATGTTAATGCATACAAGTTCCCAAGAAACAATTACAATGGATCTTAATAATCAAAAAGATCAATGGACCGAAATGGAACAATCTATTCAAGCAGTATTAATGAATAATAATAATAATTCTGTAGAAATTACTCAAGAGATGAATCCTATTGGTGTACAAGGTGTAGATGATGGTGATCTGATATCTGTTAGTACTATGGGTATTGATTATGGTGATGATTTTGAAATGGAAGATAAAATGATTAAGAAAGGTTAGATGTTGATTTTTTAATCATTATTGCTTATAATTATAGTATGATTTGAATTAAATTTCATATTGAATCGAATATATTAGTTCCTGATAGATATGCCCATCTCACCGAGGAGGTGATAAGTAAACTTGAAGAAGAATTATATAGACACGATATGGCTATTAAACAACTTGCACAGAATCTTAATATTGATGTTTTGTGGGTTCAGGTATCGTGAATATTTTATCATCTTTTTCTCGGATTTTATTTTATTTTATTTTATATTTTAATCAACATCAATTGATACCTGATTATTCCTTAAGAAATACATGAAAGATCATCATGAAACTGTTACAAGTAATAGTCGTAAACGAAGAAAGTCGGGTTATAACGTTTTCCAAGCCACCGAATGGTGGCCAAATCATAAAGAAGAATTTAATTCTTCTTTTGGAGCTGAATCTAATAGAGCTTGTGCGATCGCTTGGAAATCCCTCTTAGAATCTGATAAACAAAAATATGAAGAAATGGCCTCTTTAGATAATGAAAAAATGAAAGAAGTTCAATTGAAATATATTGAAAATTCAAGGAAGCGTAATACGCAAGTACAATCCGATATAAATAATATAAAAACCACGGTAATTAAAAAATTTTTTCTTTCCCAAGTTAAAAATTGGATGAGTGATCGTATTTATGATAAAATATTGATTGTATAATTTCAGATTCGCTGCATGGAAAAAAAGTGTGGTGTAGAAGTAGCCATGTTTGTTGTACCTAATAGAAGTGACGATTCATTTACTTCACGTTTTATTGGTACAAGTGGTGGTGAGGCATTTTTCAGCGCTAGTCCTGAAATGTGCCCTTTATTAGATAAATTTGAAATTTATACAAAGAATCGTTACCTTGGTAAGATTAATGAATTCAAAGAAAACTTGGAAATATTTTATAAATTGGTGAAAAAAATATATTTATTTTATTATATTTTTATTTTAGAACAAACTGGACAAATAGTTATACCACCCGCTAAGAGAGTTAAGAGAGAACCTTCTATTACAAATTCCACATCAAAATCGCCAAGATCTTCTAATGAATCACCTCATAGTCCAATTGCTGTTAGTAGTACTCACAGAAATATTAATTCCGCTGACGTTAAAGCAAGAGTTAGAGCTATTTTACGTGCACGTTATAGTATGTCTTTAAAAATGATCATTATTATAATTGATATTGAAGAAAAAAGATATTAATAAAATTTTTTAATAGATAACGCTCTTGGTACGGAGGGCTTAATTATTCCTTATAAAAAATGGAAAGATCATCAAGGTGAAATAGAAGTTATAGGGTGGCCTGAGGATGTACCATTTGATGATTTTGGTGTACTTAAAGTGGCTCAGAAAAAACAAATTTTAGATTGTTTATACAACATTTCCTTTAGGAAAAAAGAAGATAAAATTATTCTTTAAAAAATAAAAAAATAATAATAATAATAATAATTTATATAAATCTATTTAAAAGAAAATATTTTTTTAAAAAAAGTAATTATGAAAAGTTAGATTTATTTATAACATTTAATAGTAGTTAAAACATTTAGATTCTACGATTATATTTATATTTGCAGTTCAATAAATAATAGAATGATACAATTTTATTAATATATTAAAAAACTGAATAAATAATTTAGGTTGCCATAAATCATCAATTCCGGCTAACATTATATATATCTCAACTACATTACAATATGGTGTCCAATAATTATCCTAATGTTGCAAAAACTCATGCAACTTAGTTATAGATTGCAAAAAATTTTGATTATGATATAATATCATATATTCAGAATATTAATATACATACAAATTCATGATTATTATAGTTTTTTAAAAAAAATACAAATATAAATTATTATATACAAGATCTTCTCCCATTCCTCCACATTTTCCTATTATCCCCCAAAAAACACTTCCGTCCGTCATCTTATCGAATCAATTCAAACCCTTCGTGGCAATGTGGAATTGAAGATATTACGAAAATAAGAATTACTGGAGCTTTGCCCAATATTCTTTCCTTGCCTCAAATAAGCTTGGTGTATACTCTTCTGACCTTACAATGCTAAAGTTTTTAAAGGCATTACCATTGGGACGAGAACTCTTTGCAACACGGCCATCAAAATCTAGAACCTCATTTTCTAGACGAGTTGGGTTATGTATATCATTTATGATTTTGTCTTGTTCATCTTTTATTAACTTGAATTTCAGATGACCATTTGATTTATTAACATCAACAACCTAACAATTAAAAAAAAATATATAAAATCATTAAATAAATTCATAAAATTAAATTAAAAAAGATTGCACCAACCTTCAAATCCATTGAGACCGTTATCCCAACATTCTTAAATTGTCGTTTATATCTTAACGTATCATCAAGTCTAATAATCTGGGCTTTGGCCATTTCAGGAAGGGAAATTTGTGCAGAATCACTAATTCACGAATAAGTTAATATATTGTAATGCAAACTTTGATAACACGCGCAAATATATTTACCCTGCAATCTGTTTCTTCTCTAATTTTCCCCAAAGTCCAATTCCCCATTCTTGTTCATATTCATCGTTCTGCAAGTATTGATGATGTTATTAAATAAATATTTAAATCTATTTTATTTATATTTTTTTGCTCACCTTCCAGTTCTTGGGAACTTCAGTCTTGAATTTTTCAAAATTATTCCATTGCGTATCGACTCCATTTTTAGTATTATATCCATATTTAATGCTCGTTTGGAACCACCATCGAGCATCTTTAAAAGAATCTGAAAGCCAAAAATCAAATCGAGGACAAACTTTAACGGGGTCAAGTTCGTTGACCGGTTCAGATATTCCTGGTTCATAAGAATCTAATCCCGCAGATATATATTCTCGTTCGATCCTCGGAGTATCAATGGGATCACCATCATCATTCGCAATTGGAACTAAGTCATAATTCGGTAAAAGTCTCAAAAGACGGCTTTTTTGTTCGTTTGTGAAACTGTTGTATTTAGCAAAATTGAAGAGTGTCTATTTATTAAGAAACATATTTGTATTAATTATTATCATTATAATAAATTCTCATTTTAGAAAACGGAAGTACTTACTTTTAATTGTTTCTTAGCGAGTAAAGATTTGGTGTCAGTATATAATTTTTGAAGATAATCAATATCTTTCTTCTTCATCCAAGGACGTCTAACAAACAACTTGTTTGTATATTCACGATAAGGTGGACGCGGCTCTCTAGGAACTTCAAATAGTTGTGCTTTAACTATTTCCCATTTTGCCTGAACAAGCGGATCAGTTCCATCATCATCAATCATAACCGAATTATCATTCTTAGAAAAATTGCTCAAAGAAGTATTTACGCTCGATTTTTCAGCAGTCAACGTATCCTGACTTTTAAAAGACATAAAACTAGTGCTTTCAGTTGCTGACGCGTCATCTATTACATTAATAACGTTCTTTCCGCTGCTTGGTGACGTGTCTTTACTTGCTTCAATATTGTAAGTACCTGATTCTTGATTATCCTTATTTGTAACCTTTATTTCCTTTGTTGTTTGATGCTTGACCTCGATGTGAGCCTTTTTTGCACGTGTGTTTTTTGAAGCGGGTGAGGAAGGCTTTGTACGTTTTTTGGGCAAAGGTTTAGGCTGAGTTTCTTCATTTTCAGAAAAAACTTCTTTTTGGACAGACTCCTCTGGAATTTGTTCGTTTTTGGTTTCGTCGCGTTTAATACGAGTTGACCTTCTTACTGTTGTTGAGGGAGTTCTGTTAGCTTTTTTTCTTGGCATCTTTCAAATTTTGAAAAAGTAGAAGTATATTTGAAGGTGAAAGCTAAGAAAGAAAACACGAATAATTTTACATAAAAATATTTATGGTAAAAATTGAAAATAACTAAATGAGAAAAATATCAATGACAAAATGCAACTAACTGCATTGACCACTCATAAATTACGTTACTCAATACCTAATCGCAATGAGAAAATTTAAATATATAATAGGTAAACCTTATTATAACTTGCATAATTATTTAATTTATTCTTTAAAAACAAATTATATTTAAGTTTTACATAAATACAAGTTTTTTTTTCTTAATTTTTATTTAAAATTTAAAATTGTTATTTTAAATAAAATTTCATATTATTAAATATATACAAATATAAATGAATTTGTAAAGATTTAGTAAACTTAACCTAGAATAATAGTTTAGCCATTTCTTTTAAAATTAGCCAAGTATGAATAATATCTTGATTTTTTAATAAGTGTTATTACTAGAATTAAATAATATTTTTAATAACATTTATAATAAAAGGATAGAATTGTAAAGAAAGTTTTGATTTTTTTGTTACATTAGAAAGGTAAAAGATATGTTTTTATTTTATTCTAAAGTAATAGAAATAATAAATTGTAATACTTGAAAAATTAAAGATATTTATTCTTATTCTTATTTTTATCATATTAAATAAAATAAAAATTTATATCAAAATCAGATTATTAGATTTTAATTTTGTTAATTTAAACTAATTAAATTAAAATATTTGAATATATGATTTATATATAAATACATAATTTATGATATTATTACAATTTTAAAATAAATGTAATAATAATGATAATTATAAAATATTATTATTTTATAATAATTTATCTTATTATTAACAAATTAAAATAAATTATATTAAATTTTTTTTTTTTTAAAGTGTGGTAGCTTCGCATAATCTTTATTTAAAGCAAGTAAAATATAAATAAAATACAAGACAAGAAAAGAAAATACAAAAACTTCTAAGTATTCAGATGGGAGAGCGTGGTTGCTACTTGTCCAAAAATTTGACTAGTCATTACCATACCTAAAGAAAGAAATAAATGATGAAGGAATAAGTATAAAAGGAGGTGGGAAGTGAGAAAAACCACTCGTGATCCAATTATTCTTTTTGTGTTGTAAAGTGATGTTGACTATTTTTTCTGCTTTGGCAAGAATTTTGCATCTATTGACCCAGATTTTTGAAACTGACATAAAAATATGATGGTAGATGTGTGAAATAAGTGACATGGTAATGAAACTGTCATTTGTAATAATCTGTATTAAATTAGATAAGTCCAACGGTACTAAGCCTTTAATGAGGTCTATGAAACAGAAATTAATTGAATTATAATCAGGATTCCAAAAGGAGGTTGTCATTATCTGATAAATTGTATCTTGTGAGTTAATTAAATTGTTGTTAAGTAGCGATAGATGGTTGTAAATTTTGTGTTTTGTGGAGGCTATAATATCGATAACAGTTTCTATTGAGTGTTAGCAAGTCCAGATGTGATTAAAATCTTCATAATCGAGTTGACATCTACAACACATCCAGTTTTATTTGTATATTAATGGGCTCCTTTTTTTCAGAACTTCTAAGGACGGAAGCATTTCTAACATGAATTTAAGTTTCTGTTTTTTTGGTGAAGGAGACCCAGAAGGATGTAGCAGATTTAGTTTTGTTATCATGTAGTACTTGAAAGGTAACATTTCAATCGACCTTTAATGAATGATATTTTGTGAAGTGTGGTATAAGTAAGACGTCGTAAAAGCGTTTCGCTTGTAAGAGGCTTTTGATAAAATGACAAGTAGGAAGGAGAACGGGCATGTTATTGAAATGTAGGATCATGATGGAGTTGAAGGCATTAAAATTGAAGGATAAAGTGGATCCATTAGATTTTGCTAACTGATTTACAATATTATTAAAGGGGTCATCAGCATGTGCTTTTATTTTGTTCATATGTAAAGTGATATTTTTAGCATGTAGAAGATCGAAAAAGTATAACCAAAAAGGATAATGATGGAATTTGTAAATGGAATTGCGTTAGGAGGAAGTGGTAAGGAAGAAATGAAGTTTGTTAAAGATGTTAATAACAGAGAGAGAATCAGTAAAAATACAGACGGTTGAATGTGAAGGAGTAACGAATATAGTGGATATGATTGCTAATAATTCAGCTAAGAGAGAGGATAGATTATGTAGATAAAAGGAAGAATAAAATGAAGTTGAAGGCCAATGTGAGTCAGTTTGCAATCAGGCTAGTCCCATCCGGAGAGATGAGAGACCAAGATCAATGAGAGAGCCATCTGTATAGAAGGATAAGAAAGTTGCATTGGAAAGGTTAAAAGCTAAGTTAGTAAGTTGCGTCATGGAATTGTTGTCAAAGATATAATTAGATTGAGGAATATCGATGTTTAGTGGAATAGTAAGGAATTTGTTGGTAGGATTAAGTGAATTTAAGGCAAGTTAATGTAATATAAGAGGAGATAAAAAACAAAGACGCTCGATATGATTTTTGGCTTTTATAGAGATCACTGAACACAAGTGCAGTGGATTTTTAAAGCAACACAATGACTGTCTCCACAACATTTTTCTGTGTGACTTTATAGATAGGTCATTAAGAGGGCAGCCAAAACAGGGATCTAAAATAGTACGAAACTGTTCATCAATTGTCATAGTATAGTGCTGAATATGTACGGTATCCTGCTCAATAAGGAGAATTTTTCCCACTGTTGAGTTGTTTAAGTGAGAAGACCATAGCGTAATATAAGTGACTTCTTTTGAGTCTACTGAAGGAGTAACTTGTTTAACATAATATCGGTACTCTATTTGTAAGGTTAGATGTATGGTGCGTGTTTGAGGTTCAGTAAGGACGGCTGATTCGATAATGTCAAACCATTTTGGCCATTTTCTGAACTTAAAGGTTCTAATGTTCTGGGAAAGATCACGAAACAGAAGTAAAAAGTTTCCATTTGAAGTCATAAGTTATGACAGGAATAGTAATCCTATACGATGAAGGTGATTGGAAAATTTCCTATATTCAAGCGGATTGATTAATTCCAGGATAGGTTTTATACCTCCTTGTATAACATTGGTAATTAAATCATGAGCAGTGAACAAGAGATTCAATAATTTCATCGATGTTAATATTGAGGACTACCAGTTATTAAAGAGAGCCAGTGATAGAAAGGGCCAAAAATTAAAGGGCGATGATAGTAGCCATTCCTTAATTTGAAGTTGTAAAATACGAATCTTGAATGTGATCCCAAGCAAACCAGGATCATTGATCATCTTTTGTAGATTCGAAATCTTAGCTTGTAATTGATGATCGTATAAGTGTGCTAAGTTAAAGATCTTTGAAGAGTGAATAATTGCGTTAGGAGTGCTAATCAATAAATGTAAGACTTTTTTGAATGTTTTACGAAAGGTTCCCATTAGCATGTCACAGAAGTTAGTTATCAGATAAGTAGTTTGTATTTTGTAAAGTACCCTCAGAATGATTACCACATTGAATAGAGTTACAAGATGTTTGTCAGTTAATTTTTTTTTTTCATAATATTGGCGGAGTTAAAAATTTCCTCTTGCACTTGTCGACAAATAAATTTTTTGTTTTGAGAGATTGAGATCCAAATTCCTAAATAACGAATAGAAGTTTTGGGATCATTTGGCTGTAACCATATATTATTATTAGTAAGCGTAAAATTAACTCTATTCTGTGTTGGAAGCGATGTTAAAAGTACAGACTTGTCCCAATTAACTTTAATATCATTTAAATAATAGAAGCTATTAGCGATCAACATAATATTATTAAGGTCGTGTTTAGATTTACTTAACTATAAAGTGTCGTCCATGTAGGCTAGGCAAGCACATGCGCGTCAAAAATGGGTGCAGTAGCTTCTGTGATATTGGTGAATCGATCTGTTTTCAAAGTATAACCTAGATCAGATTGTTGAATTCGTACGAGCAAGGGGTCGTAGTAAATATACCAAAGAATGGGGGAAATTATTTCACCTTGATCAATACCAGAAATCACTTGATAATCATCTGTATTTTCATGAACTGTGAAGACTTGATTAAATCGTGATGAGAACAGAGCACAGATGAAGTTGCAAAAGGAAGGAAGTAGTTTGAGATGCAGAAGGGCTTTTTGAAGCATGGATATATTAACTCTGTCATATGCTTTTAACATGTCCTGGAAAAGGAGCCACAGTTGTTCATTGTGTTGGTAATAGTGATCGTATATGAGATTATCTAAAATATGGATGGGTTCAAAAGTAGATCAGAAGGGAAGACCTGCAAAATTGTTTCCTTATAAAATATTATGATTGGAAAGAATCGCTAGTAGCCTTTGATTGATGAACTTTACCAGGACTTTTCTAGGGCATTCTAATAGGGTAATCAGTCTTGTGTTGTTAAGATTGTATTCCCATAGTTTTGGTTTAGCGATGGGATAAACGTAAGCATCTGGTATTAGAGATAGATTCAGACAGCCACATATGAAAGTCCAGAAGGCTTTGTTTGTACGAGGACCAAGATGTTTTAGAAGTTCATTAGAAATCTTCGAAGGGCCACTAGCCTTATCGTTTGGAAGCAATTTAATAATCTGAGCCTATTCCTCCTCTGGTAGATCAATAGGTCAATATGAGTGAGTGGATCATAAAAGGGTTGCCATTCGTCTGGGATATCAGAAGGTGCATTTTGTGATCCAGCAGCATGTTGAAAATGTCTTGCTGTTTCTTTTTTAACATCCAATGCTGAGGTGAGCAAACCAAGATTGGCTTGTGAATTGTCAAGACAACAATCCAGGATGATTGTTTGGCATTTACGATTCAAAATAGAGTCTATCATCTTTGATTGATCCGTTTGAAAGTTGTCACATCTTTGTTCAAGAGCTTGCTTTATCATCTTTGTCTTATGCTCATCTTCTTTAATATTTAAGGCTGTTGATACTATACCTAGGAGAGAGCTAATTTTAGGCAGGTTTTAATGAATTAGATTAATGGTAGCAGTATTGATTGTATCAAAGTGTGTATCAAAAAGGGGTGCAAAAGACCTAATTTTATTGTAGGTATTGATCCACAAGTCTTTGATTCTGCCAGTACTGATACTCTGTAAGGAAATACGTTCCAGTTTCTGAAGATCAAATAGTTGCCTATAATCTTTTTTAAGTGCTGAGGGTTTAAAATCTTTAATATGATCAGAAGATTATCTGTGAGGGATAGTCAATTCCGCAGCTTTAATGATACACTGTTGAAGATAGTTCCAATAAAAGTTCAGGTTATGGAGTGATGATAGCCAGGCCAAGGTTATTTGTTTAAGGTGGCATGATTCTAAAAGATTATCAGTTTTCTGTAAGAAGGTATCCCATTGTTGATTGTTAGTATTGTCATATAGAAAAACAGTTTTTTTAAATGCTTTAGGTGAAACAGATCTTTGAGTCATTTCTGGAATGGTGATTTTAGTAACAACCATGGAGTGATCAGTGTATTGTGGGTCTACTTTTATGACTTCTGATGACATAATATCATTTGAGATGGCATGAGAGAAAAAAATATAATCAATACGAGAAGAAGTTGATATGGGAGAATGACTGTATGTTGGATGGGTAGTATCAGCATTATCATGAACAAGATCACATGAGTTGAAAATGTTATAGGATTTAAGGAGAGAGAAAAATTCGTTTGATTTGGAAGGATTAATAGAATGGGTTAGAATAGTGTTAAAATCACCAAGGAGAATGATATGTATATTTTTTGTCAAAGCTTGTTGGATAATTTCGAATACCTCTTTAATGGTTTGAGTACATAGTTGAACATTAGAACTTGAAATGTATACGTTGATAATTCTAATTTTGAAGCGAGCTGGGAATTGTAGATCTATATAAATATATCTTCCCAGGTTGCTAGTATGATTATATATGTGGTTAGCAAGTGGTTTTTTGATTGGAAGACCTATACCAAAGCCAACTTGTTGGGAGTTTTGTTTATATTCGAAAAAGGGAACAAAAGATGGAGGAAATGAAAAACGTAATGCAGAAACATCTCTATTTGAATTAAAATTAGTTTCTTGGATGCCAATGACATCGAGGTGATTACACAGATAAAGACTAGTTAACAATTTTTGTTTAAAGGGGTCATTGAAAGAACGAACGTTATGGGTGGCGATGTTTAAGGTTAGAGATAAAATGAGAGGAGTAGTTGAAAGGGACATATTTGAAAATGTGGATTGATCGCTTACATTGGAAGCATTTGTTATACTAATCATAATAATTATAAGAATTGTGATAGGGGAATACAAAAACATTATCTTCATTTCTGCAGTTAACTGATGGGGCAATAAGGGCTTCAACTAGAATGATATCATTGATAACATTTAAGGTCTGTAAGGCACGTTGCATTTGGGCTACCGCTTGAAGAGCATAGTTAAGCTTTTTGACATTCATTTCAAAGTTTTCTCTAAGGGCATCATTCTCGTCACGTAAATGATCAACTTCAATATAGTCGCTAATGATGCCAGCTTTGTAAGGATTGAGGTCTTCATAATCATCATCTTTCATAGCTGGAGAAGCATTAAGTTCATCTGCTTCTATTTGGGTAAGGGCAGTGATGCCTAAATTATCTTCAATAGCTTTGACTCTATCAATAGTGAAGGAAAGATCATTGTGAATTGAAGTGAATTGGTTCGTGATAAGTTCAAGTTTGAGCATAATTTGGTCTAATTTAGGTTGATTATCGGTTGGATAATTGGAGTGGTTATCTTGATAATATTCATGTTCAGTGCTCTCAGCCCAGTCCTGATTTGTATGGATACTAGCAGCAAGGGTTTGATCACCTTTTGCGTTTGTTTTTTGCTGGTCAGGGTGATGGTAGTTGGAAGGATCATTAGGATCAGATTTTTTGGTAGTATAGGCATATGAATCGTTAGATTGTTGATAATTATTTGAGTTTTCTGTACGTTTGGGTACTTGCTTGTTATTTTTTTGGGGAATTTTGGGTTTAGGTTGAGGAGCTTTATAATTGCTAAACTGTGCAGGTTGATATCTCTAATATGGATTCCGCATTTGTCTATCATTAGGTGCTTTGCGGTTACAGTGGCAGTTATATGATTGATATTCAGGAACTGAGCAAATATAACATAGTTTTGTGTTGGGGTCAGTCCAAATGAGTTTTTTTTGATCCAGATAGAAAGTATCACATTCTTTAATAAAATCAAGTCTTTCTTGTGATTTAAAGTAGAATATCGCATACTGTAAGTTATGATAGTTAGATTTTACTTTGGGAATTACCCATGCCATTGCGTTTACGGTTTTACCAATATTAATAAATTGGCGTCCATTTGTATCAATAGGGAGGTTGGTTAACTTCAAGGAGAATTTTGATTTAGCTCTAACTTCTTCATTGGAGAGAATGCATTTGTGGATACGAACTAAATCTTTGAGTACAAAATAACTATCAATAATATTAAATTGGGACATGTCAGTAGTGTCGTCATACGTTACAGTGGCTTGTTGCCACAAATTTTTTGTAGTCATGGAGCATCTGATGATCTTGCCAAAAAAGGAAAATACTGCACGGATATTCACATCGGTCACTGAGATCGGGATTTCAGTAATTTTAATAGATTTTTCTGGGGTAAATTTGCCGATCGGAGTTTGTGTAAGGGGTAAAAATGTGATATTTTCCATATTAGGAATGTGAAAAGCAACAGCTTTTTCTGCGTCACCTCATGTAGTAAATCCAATTCTGATAATTTTCTTTGTTGGGTCGGTGGGGAAATTTCTAACAGATGCACCAATGAATGAAGGGTATTCAGTGTCACAAAACAAATCACAGGCAGCATTTGTTTTTAATTTATTGGATTTGCCAGGGAGAAAGATATCTGTGGCGCAGTAAGCAAAGAAAATTGGAGAGTCTTGTTCTCTTTCAAAGCGTGTAATATTCTTTTCAGTGTCGTTTGAAAGCATATTCAGGTTGTAGAGGAGTTTCAGGTGCTTTACCCTTGTTAACGGTGGACGAAGTTGGGTCAATATCTATGGTTTCTTCAGTTGTACTTTTAATTTCTTGGGTGGAAGTTGACTGAACTGGTGTTTGTTGTTGAGGTTCTTTTTCTTGTTGAACAAGTTGAACTCTTTTTGCTGGTGGTGGTAGGGTTCTATTACTAACAGGTGAACTAGAACGGTTACGGTTTGGGTTTCTTCGCAAAATAGTTTTGTCATTTTTCAGAATTTTTGCGAAAATGGGGAAAGAGTTTTTTCAATTTTAGCATATATTATTATGTAGGATTTTCCAATAACTTAAAAATGATCGGCAAATGATCGTGCAAAATGTGATAAAATTAAACATGACCGCTAATGCGCTAATAATGCTAAGCGACATTTCTATAATAACAATCTTTTATAATTTCGTTGTCTCGCCAAATTGCCAGTAATATTAATATTGGCTTACCATCTCACACTAGAGTTTCTATGGACAGTGCTCATAATAGTTAAAGATACGCGTCAGGTTCCTGTTCTTGAACCTAAACAACAATATGCTATCAAAAAAAAAAAAAAAAATGGTTTTGAACAACTCTAAGTCGTATTTTGGTAAAATTGAAATAGGCCCATTTCACAGGTATAATATATATTTTGCCTTGTAATAGATTTGCTGCTGCACGAGATTCTTTCTAATCTTTAAATTTTTTAATTTCATTTTCTGCGATTGTCGGACCAAATGGTTCTGAAAAATCTAATGTTATAGACGCGCTTTTATTTGTATTTGGATATCGTGCAAATAAAATGATCCAAGGAAAATTATCAGAACTTATTCATTCATCACAAGGATGTGAAAACCTTGATGTTTGTAATGTGGATGTCCATTTTGAAGAAATTCTTGATATGGTAAATGATTAAAGTTTTAATTTCCCAAAATACAAAAATTAATCACATAATGTTCTAGTATAATCCAGATGATTATGAGATTGTATCTCAATCTCAATTGGTTATCTCGCGTCAAGCTTTTCGTTCGATTTGGATCATAAACGTTTTCTAATTTTGCAGATGCTTTTTTTATTTATTTTTATTTTTCGTAATTATTAATGTATTGACATCATCAAAATTTCGTGCTTAAATTAATGATTAGGAGAAATTGAATAATATCTCATATGAAACCCAAAGCACCAAATAAGCATGAAGATGGATGAACTCTTAGAATTTCTTGAAGACATTATCGGGCAAATGAAAAGCTTGAATTATTGGATGAAGAACGTTCAGAAATTAAATCACGTTAATATAGTTGAAATGGAAACAAAGTTTATAGGTAACATATTAATCAATCGCGTTTGTATTTATATTAAAGAACAATTATGATTCTAATTATAAAGGCCAAGAAAAACGAAGCTGAAGAATTTCTCCGAGATGAAAACACGTTAACTTTGAAGCAGTCTGCTCTGTTTCAAAATAATTATTTAAATTGTAAGAATAAAACTCAAATATCAATTAAGTCTGTGGTAAATCTTTAGATTTAATAACTTTTTCAGACAAGCTAATTTTAATATGACGATTATGAATTTTTAAAATATCAACTAAAAGAAGAAGAAAAGCATGTTCAGATAAAACAAGATAACAAAGATCTCGAAAATCAATACAACGATTCTGTTAATGCCTTTCTGGTAAAATAAATTATATTAATTTGCAAATATATAAAATTTTCATTAATATGATAAATTTTTTTTTTAATAAGCAACTTGAAAAAGAAACGAATGAAATTCTAGAAGAATTGGCAAATATGAAACAGATGATATTAACCTGGAAGAGAGAAAGAAACAAGCAACTTCTAAACAAAAGAAAGTGACAATGGCAATTTCTACGGTAGGTTATATTAGGTTATATTATTTTGATGCATATATATATATATATTCGAGGACATACAATAAAATATGCGTTTCATTATAGGGTCATCATGGACTTTCGGAAGCGAAAACAGCAATACGATTTAATGAACAGGATTTGAATGATCGAATGGAAGAAATTGTAAGCTTGGAAAGATCTTTATAGGCTCAAGAAAGTGAATTGAAAAAATCATGGAAGCCTTAAAGGGTATGAGAATCGATTATTTTAATCAACTTGTGTAAATATTTTTTTTAGATTGTTATTATATTGAAACTGGATTTAATCTTAAATAAAAGCAAGTCTGAAGTTTATTCTAACCAAATTGAAGAAAAAAAGAAAAGAGAACTTGCGCCTAGGTCAGTGAAGATCAATGAGAAACAATCTCTCGTTGATATCAAGGAATCGGTGTATATTATTTTAAAAGAGGAAGTTGATACAATAAAACAAGAACTTGTCACGTTTAGAGAATCATGTCGGAAAAGGTATTATTATTAAGAATCAAATTGCTTTTTGGTGATCAATTAATTAATCATAATGAACTACTTGTTTAGAGTCAAGAAATCTAATCTGCAAAGAATTAAATCAAAGACTTGAAACGAGAAATTCAACAATTGAACACTGTTTTAAAGGTTATTATTTAATTTAACATTTAAATTAATATATCAAGTATTTTAAGGTAATCATAAATATCTTTTATTACTTTAGCATTATCTTAGTCAGCAAATAAGTCTAGTCTTGCCGATTCTCAAAGAGAAGAGGTGGCGAAAAATCTTTTACAATATTCTCGGTCTAGAGGACAAACTCTTAGCAGCTTGATAAATCTCAAAGATAATGATTGTATAAGCGGAATATACGTAAGTTCGCCGGAGCGGAGTGTTCTATAAATTGTTATTGTTATGTTGAAAAACTTATTTATTTTAATTTTTAATTAGGATCGTTTGGGTAACCTTGGTGCCATTGATAATGAATACGATGTCGCGATTTCAACTGCCTGTCCTGCATTGAACAACATCGTGGTTGATTCTGGTGAAGTTGGACAAACTTGTGTAGAGCATCTTAGAGAAAACAATTTAGGTCGCGTCATATTCATTCTACAAACGCCTGAAAATGTTCCCCGTCTTTTTGATCTTGTTAAGCCGAAAGATGATAAGTTTATCCCAGCATTTTATAGTGTGTCACAAATACTTTGGTAGCTGAAAATCTACAAGCGAATAGGATAACATTTGGTAAAACTCGATGGGCGCGTAGTGACTTTAAATGGTGAATTGATTGAAATCTGGCACTATGAGTGGCGGAAATGCCCAAGTGTTGAAAGATGTCATGAATTCAACATTTTCTTCCGACATAACACCCGACACAATAGCAAAATTAGAAAGAGAACGTAGTCACTTAGAAGTACAATGAAGAGAATTAATGAAAAACTTAGTATTTTAGAATCTCAACTGCACGAGAAAAGGATGAACTTCCTAAATTAGAGTTTGAACTATCAAGTTAGAGATGTATGCTGATGCTTGCGTAAAAAGTATGAAACAAGAGTATTTGAGTTACGGTACGTTTAGAACTTTTCACCAATAAATTCTTGGTAAAGGTTAATAAAAATCAAAATTTTTTTTTTGATTTTTCCTTTAAGGAAAAAAGATAATTTAAATATAGATGATACCAGGCGTATGGGACAACTTCGAACAACTTACACAAGAGTTGGATAGATTGAAACGTCAACCTTCAAAATTGAAGAGATTAAGGTTTTGCAAGATAAGATTTTAGAAATTGGCGAGTGGCCAAATCAAGGGCGGAAATAGAAATGAATAAATTCGAAAATTCTCTCGCAAATAGTGAAAGGGATAGGAATATTACAAAAGAAATTCAACAGAAAGCCAATGTTGCACGTTCCATTCGTGAAGCCAAATCTGTAATTATATTTGAATTTTTTTATTAATATAAATATATAAATACTTATTTAAATGTTTTCTAAATATTTAGATATTGGAAAGTAAAAAAGAAGAATTAGATGAGATCAAGGAAGAATTTGATGAAAAAATCGAAATTATTAATAAGATTAGAGCAATTGAGGTTTATATTTATATTTAAAATTATTAAGTCAATCTTTTTTTAATGACTAATCATACTATGTACTTTATTAGTTAAAAATCCAAAACCATATAGTAGATATGAACGCAATTTGACAGAAAATAAACAAAAAGTTATTCATTGGCGAAAATCTCTTAGACTTCATGAAATCGGGTAAGGCATGCTGATGATATTTTTAAAATATTCATTCTACCATTTATCTCATTGACTTTTATAAATAGGGGCAAGAATTTCAAATCTATACTGATGATGAGCTCGATGCAATGAACAAAGATACATTACAAGGAGAGATTGATGCTAGATTTCTTTGAGAGATTAATTTGAATTCATGCATGAATTCTTATAATCTTAAAAGATCGTATTCTTTGCATTCATAAAGCTTAACAGTAATCTCGTCTAGATCTTTTTTACGCAATTTAAAGTTTTTCTAATTTTTTTTTTTATATTCTATTTATTCTTTATATTTAATTATTATTTTTTTTTTTAAAAAAAAAAAAATCCTTAGAAAAAACCGAATCTAAATATTTTGAAGGAATATAATATTCGTATAAATTACGTCAAAAAGATTTTGAAGAGATTACTCGATCTTTTAAGGAAGCAGGTTGGACGAATTCATGCATGGATTCAATTTTATTTCTCAAAAGCTTAAAGAAATATACCAGGTACATAATAACATTTTTTATCTCAATATATGTTATATAAAATATAAACAAATGATATAAACAAATGGTTGTTTTTAGATGATTGCTTTTGGAGGAATGCCGAGCTTGAATGTTGCGATAGCTTGATCCCTTTTCTGAAGGCATTCTTTTTAGCGTTATGCCGCCGAAAGAGTTGGAAAAATATTTCGAATTTATCTGGTGGAGAAAAGGTATTTCGTATGTTCTCCAATGTTTCAATTTTAATTATACTTGATATGTAACGAATATATTATTTTATCAAAATACAGACACTTAGTTCTTTGGCTTTAGTATTTGCTCTGCACCATTTCAAACTACACTCATATATTATGGATGAGATTGATATGGCTTGGATTTTCGTAATATGTTAATCGTCGCTAATTATATCAAAGAACGTACTATAGGGACGCACAATTTATGTTATTAGTTTACGTGATAACATGTTTGAATTAGTAGATCATTTAGTAGGGGTTTAAAATTGATGATTAGGTACGATTCTTTCTTGCAACTAATTTTTTTAATGAATATTATTAAATTTTATGAATAATATTATTTTAATCAAAATCAGTTACTATTAATCCGCGTAAATTTCATGATCTTAACATTAAGTGAAAAATTTGGAAAAGTCTCGATATAGGCCCATTGTGTTAGTAATTAGCGTTAGTAATTAGATATGCTAAATAATGTCTATCAAAATATTACCGTTAAATAAAAAATTTGTGTGAGACGTTTATTTTTACTTTATCAATTTTAATAGCAATATTTATTTTTAATGAAAGATTATAAAAATGATTGCATCAAATTTTTTTAATAAGATTTCTAGGAAAAAATAATATTCTAGATCTTATTTATTTAAGGATTTCAATGTGTCAATAATAATAGAATTAGATGATTAACACAAATTGAAAACGACATTAATACAAGAATTTTACATGGAAACACTTATACTCTTTAGCTGGGAAATAACTGTACAAATCTTATTTGATCGCAGTTAGAAAATGAATTAATAATTAAAATCGAAGCATACAATTCAGAGAAAAAAGATAATATAGGTGATATTATTGAAATAGAATTTTTTGTTGCTGATGTGATAGAATCCTTTAGTAGACATAACATTTCATATACAATTTGATTCATATGATAGTTATGATAGTTCGCCTCTACAAATGCTTTTGATATATTAATGACCTCATCAAAAATAAGAACATCACCAACGTTTAGTTTTTTGAAAGAACCAAAATCAAATTATAAATTAAAATAAGAAATAGTATCTTACATAGGATCTCGTGATGCTGGTTGAACAGGGCATCTGGAAAAAAATTTGTTGAGAATAGCACAGACTTGTTGGTATATTGATAAATGTGGATACAATATCTTTAATGATAAGTTTACAATACCAGCAGACTTCTTGCAGTTTGTCAATTGGTATGACCCTTTAATAATTAAAAAAGGCCATTCAAAATTTACCCATGATGAATTAAATCATCATTATCAAAATCCGAATGCTTATCTGGATTGTTTCTTATTTTTTAAAGTTCTTTTTAACCAAATTTACCTCTAATCTTATCGACTATATAAATGATTTGATTATTAAAGTAGAACAAACAAAAAAAAATAATATCTATATAGTAAATAAAGAGGATACAGGAAAGTTGAAAATTATTATACCTGTTATATTTAGAAATACGAAAATAATAAAAAATACAAGCTGCAACATATTAAAAAAGCAATTAATATAAATTCATTTTATTTCAATAATAGTTTGTAAATGAAAAATTAAAATATTTACCTGTAATTTTTGATATATATTATCTTTTATTTGTATAAAATTTGCATCTAAATCATATTATAAAGTTTCTGCTAATAGTAAATTTAAATCAAATTTAATTTTTTTCTTCAATAACTATAAATGATTGATCATCAATTACTATCCAATCAATTAATTTTTTTCTAAATCCTTGTGATGTAAACTTTTTTTTTATTTGTAATAGTTCATTATTTTGATAAATATTTTGATGATGCTTTTTTATATATCTTTATAATATTGAAGTAGATTAATTTATTACCAAAGTTTTTGCTATTTTAAAGTAAACATTAATTAAAATTATATTGTGATATTTAAGTATAAAAAATACTTACTCATAATAATTGCATTTTCAAAAATAATCTAATATAAAATATTGATATATTTTTAAAGTTCTTTTTTTATCAATTAAAGATAGTTCTTACTCATTATCAGAAGGTAAATTTATTTGATCACTTTATGACATGATTTATATTTTAAAATTTTTTTTTTTTAAAAAAAAATTTAATAATATTAAATTCAATATTTCAATTAAAGTCTTTTTATTTTCTAAAAAAAATAAAATCTAAAAAAAAAGTTAATGAGGCTTGTATAATAACCTTATAATTTTAATATTATAAATTTATTTGAAAAGATTAAAATTTCTTTTAAAGAGAAGCCACAGATATCTTTTCTTTTTTTAAAAAAAAACCTATAGAGACTTTTTCTTTTCTAAAAAATCCACAAAAGCAATTTGTCAAAAAACGTTTTTGGTAATAATTTCCTTCAAGGAAAGTCACAGAAATGATTCCCTTTAATAAAATAAACAGAAATGATTTCTTCAATAAAACGCCTTTGAAAATAATTCATTTCAAAGAAATGTTTCTGAAAATGTTTTTTTTAAAGATACGCTTCTAAAAATAATTCCTTTCAATAGAAAAGCCACAAAGGCTATTCCTTCAAAAAAAATGCTTCTAAAGCATTATTATTTTAAAAGTAATGCTTCAGAAGCAATTTATTTAATGTAATGTTATAGAAGCATTTTTGTTTAAAATAAACGTTTTAAAAATATTTCTTTTAAATAAAATGTTTCAGAAAGTTTATTTTTAAAAGTAATACTTTGAAAGCATTTTATTTAAATAAAATGTCTGAAAGTGTTATTATTTAAAATAAATGTTCTAGAAGCATTTCTTTTAAATAAAATATACTGAAAATATTTCTTTTAAATAAAATGTTTTAAAAATGGTATTATTTTAAAACTAACATTCTGAATACATTTTTATTTAAATAATATATTCCAGAAGTATAGTAATACTTCTAAAGCATTTTTTTAAAGTAAATTTTTAGAAGCATTTTTTTAAAAGTAATGTTCTAAAAGTGTTATTATTTAAAAATAATGCTTCAGAATGTTTATTTAAAAAAAATGCTTCAGAAATATTATTCTTCAAAGAAACATTTCAGAATCATTTTTTTTGAAAAAAACTTTATCAGAATTGTTTTTTTTAAGAAAATATTACTAGAATTATTTAAATTTAAAAAATAATTGTCTAGAATATTATTCTTTAAAGTTAATCTACTGGATTTGTTATTTTTGAAAATGAAAAATTCAAGCTGACAAGCTAAGCACAGTATGAGTTAACTTAATCAGCTCACAAATTATTTTATAGTAGCTTGAGCTGAGCTTTAGTAAGTTGGCTTATGAGGCTGTGAGCTAACTGACTTAGCTTATGAGAAGCTTTAGTTCTAACAGACAATACTAATTATTTAAACTTATTTACTAACTTATTTATCTTGGTCTCTTTTTAATGCAGTAAAAACTAATTATTTTAAAATTTTTTTTTTTAGTTATATACCAGTGTATAAATCTAAATTAAAATATATACACACAAGTTGATAAATTATTATTAAAATAAGAAAATTATAATAATTTCTTATATAAAATTACCTTTTTTAGATATAATTAATTTATTTTTAGTAATAATTTGTGCATATTTTATGTTGTATAATATGTGAAACAAAATATTAATATGCAGATATGCATATTATTCATATAGATTTTATATACTATTATATACTTATTTTTCTTCACTTAATAGTTAATTAAGAATGTGTCAGAATAACTGGTTAATTTGATTAGAGTTGAATAAACTTTTCAAGAAAGATTAAATAACATTTACTTTATTTTTCTACTTTTGTATATATTATAGGATTTTTACTTTATAATAAGAATTGAATTTTTAATAAATAAATGTTATACTATATCTTTAAAATATATATATATATAATTTTTATATCATAAGTAATTATAGATATGTTTGATTATATTATATAATTTAATAAAATATTACATATTCTATTTATATAATATTAATATAACAGGTAATAATAAAAATATTTCTATTGATAATCTGATTATAATCTAGATATTATTATATTAATATCAACAAAATAATCCTATTATTATTTTTATAATATCCAATTAGAATTCTGATATTCACTTTTTATATCATTATTTATCAATCAGTATCATCTGATTTTAAAAAATAAAAAAATAGAAAACTAATCAAATCAAATTTGAATTATCAGATTTGACTCAATTGGTCTCTTATTTGTCATTGTTTAACTAGTAAATATATTGTTTTAAAAGAACAATAAAAAAATATCAATATTTCAAATACTAATGTATCATTTTGAAAGAATAATAGAAAAATAATTGTTCTTTAAAATAATAATGTATAATATCATTCTTTTAAAATGACATTTTCATTTCTTTGAGATAATTATATTATTCTTTCAGTAATAATTATATTGTTCTTTTAATATAATTATATAGTCTTTTTAGGTTGAT